ATTATACCTGCTATGGTTAATATTGTTTGCTCCTAATAAGTGAGTGCTCTAGTACAAAAAGCTAATCTAGTGGACAGTAAATAATGATAAGCTTGATGCTAAGTTTGAATTGGTTACTATAATCATAAGCTCTTTTATGCAATCTGTGTCAAGCTAGCCCACCTCAAAAGCCTTGCATGATCCTTGGTGTCTTTTATTTCGGTTTTTGTTTGGTAAGTCTAGTGAGTACCTTCTCGTACTCGTGGTTTATCTCCCACCGCTTGCAGATGACCGGTTCTACTTTGGTTGTTTGCAATCTTTTCTCTCCACCGGGGATGAAGACTAGGCCGTTATGCCGGTCTCTACTAGTTCTCGTGCACGATAATGCTTTTGTGGGACATGACTCGGATCCGCAATGTATTTGAAACTATGAAGTTATGTACTAAACTATGTTGCTTCCGCGCATTTGAACTTGGTTTGTAATATTTTAATTTGAACTCGATGGATGTAATCCGAATGCTACTTATGAAATGTTGTAACGGATGATGTGTTGTGTTGAATCACTACGATCTTGGTTTGTATGTCGAGAGTTGGTTGAAATCCTTCGTGATTTCCGAACTACCGGATTATGGGAGCTTAAGTACGAAATTTGATCGCTTCGGTGATTGTTGTTGTACTTACGTTCTTATGATTTGGTCGGTTCTGTTACAACAACTACAGCCAAAACCGTGAACCTTGCTGCTTTTAACCTTTTACTGTGTGCTGCGAACAAGTTTATCTTTCAGAGATTGATATAAGCTTCGATCCTCGCATCTATGTCGCTACCGTTCGCCTCGTAACTCGTTGTCCTTGATTCAGTGCTTCTCTTAGTTTCTACGTTCATGAGAATTTGCAGGTTTCCTGTTTCCCTTTGCTGGTTGCTGATGCTTATATTATGCAAGGTGGTCAAGGAAGACAAGGGGTTCTTTCTAGAAATCTGTTCGTGCAGCCTAGCAAAATCTGAGGTGACCTGGTCCTTTCTTTCTATTGCTCTATGTTCTTATTCTTTTATATTTCCTATGTGGTATCTGCTTATGTGTGTCTGGCATCAGATTGTTTATAGTTGCTGGTCTTTACAGGTCTCAATTTGATTAACTCGATCTGAATTTCTGTGGATGCTTCGCGCCCAGGGGCTCCTAGGATTGGTTAGTGATTTCATGTCTCCTGAAATATATGTTTAATACTACTGTCTGTGCCATTGTTAATTTTCTCTTAGATTACCTACTCATTTTTTATTTTTACCCGACATGGTGCCATTGTTAGCTTACTCTTAGATTAACTATGTATTCTGGTTTTATGTATAGGGAGAGCATTGTTTTGTAAGATGGTTTTCTTCTCTGTGCTTTCCAATTCATACTTTGTTCATTTCAATAAAGGTCACAGACAGTTTATGATTCAAACATAACCAAAGTCCATGTTGAATGCGTCCATTACTGTGCTGATTCATTAGCGGTGCCTCCTCTATCCTGAATATTTGGGTGAGTGCCTTCAAGATTTTTGATGAAATGTATACGTGGATGCACTACCTAGTAGGCACCTCCTCGAGTAATCAAGTGCTGCATCTTGCCATATATGATCTGCTTGTGGATTAGTGATGATGTAGAAAAAATAAGAAGCCAACAATGTTTCTTCATCCCAGTTTTTTTGCAAAATTTAAAACCATAGTGCTTCTTTCTTATTTTAGTCTATATATAAGATAATGCTCTCATATTATACCTGTCTTGTGATGCAGACAAGGCTTTCTGATAGGTTAAGAGCTTTATAACTGTGAAATAGTCATTTATTTCCTTGGGTATTACAAGATCAACTTCAAAATATATGGCCATATTTTAATGCTTCTAAATCCTTCTTAATATTTGTAGAGCACTTTTGGCAAGCCACAAAATCCTGGAGCACCATATTATTAACTGAGAGCCTAATATTGCAGGCACTAATATCTCCCGCTGGTAATGTTAGAAAGAATAATGTACAGCGTAGACATCATTGATAAACAATGAAGACGCCGAACAAGCGTTGTCTTGTGCAACAGGTTTGCCAAAATAGTGAGCCACTGCCTAACCTGCCAATAAAAATCAGAATATTTTGAATGCAATGTTTTGCATCTTGTGGTCGGATTGTTTCGTTTCTCTTAAGTATATACCCATGATTAAATGTTGAGGCTTCAAATGTTTATGGATCAACATATAATTCTCTGCATTTTCATGACTTGCTTACGAATTTGTGACTTCAGCCAAGATATGAAATGTGTTACTCTTTTTGTTCTTCTACAGCTATTTACCAGAATACCCATGACTAAACAAAGACATATGATTATCCGGTCTCTATTGTTTGCTTCACAGATTAAATAAACCATTTAGCCATTTACACAAAACACCCATAATGTTAACACAGATAGATATAGCGTAGCCCTCTGTATGATCTTTTTATTTTGATCTCATGTACCTCCTGAACCTTTATGCATGTCTTATTTTATTTACACAGGCATTTATATAGCTATTTTCTTCTAGATTCCTATGCTGAATTGTAAGTGAAAATTGCTCGAACTAATATTTTGGTGCGCTGACCAGCAGTTAGTTACAGTCGACGCGCGCGGCGGCGGCGACGCCCTCCCATTCAGCTCATCTCAGATTTTAGCTCTAGCTAAATACAGATCAGGACAACATACAGATGCACCATGTAGGAAATTATTCGAAGGTCAAAGCTATTGCCCAACAGATAAGCTAATGCCACGTCTTTAATCAATTTTACTTACAACCCTTAGCTCAAAACAAAAAAATATCATCTATAACCCTTCTGCTGCTTTAGAAGCTCGCACCAACTGCTGCTACATCTGTCCATTTGGTGGTCAGTTGCTGATCAATTTTTGTGCTTCCTCTCATATATGCTGGCATGTTGCTGTTTTCCTCTATGTAGGATATCTTCTTTGTTGATGGAGGAAAAAAAGATTTTATCAAGCATTGCCAATCCAAAACACATATAATTTCTTCAACATGTTAAGTTATTGTATTTACTAAAATTTGTCTAGACCAGTAAAACCAATACATTCTTTTTAGATGAAACATGTCTAAGATAAATTTATAGGAAGTACTCTTTAAATCCATAGGAAGTACTCTTTCAGCTACATTCCTCGTCTTGTTTTATTCTATTTTATCATCCATGGCTCTTGGATCCTCATAGCAATATTAAGCAGGTCATGTATCATCTACCTCCCTCTGTTTGTTGCTATTTTTCAATTCCAGTTCACAGACTGTATGTAACAAATATTTACAAATTGATAGTTTTAGGTCGTGCTCAATTCATATTATGTAGTACTCTATACCAGTAGGCCATACATAGACATATGCGGTTCTATTCTGAAGTTTCCTGTGTCACTCTAGCACAGCATATGTCCATGAAAAAACCCAACTAGACTTCTTTGCTCTCGCGCGCGGGGGCGCGTGCATTCCACAACGACCCGCCTTTCTTGCATTGCATCAGGAGCTCATACATATACGATCTCAGTGAAAATTAATTACTGCCGGTGTACCTGAACTCCTCATTACGGATAAGCACCGATTTTAACATAGGGCGTGGTGCTAAATTGTTAGCTTTGCGCCAGCCGGTTTAAAATTTGAACCGCACGCACGGGCCCCGACTGTTCCATCGCAGGGATCACAGCGCCGGTGCAGCAAAATTTACAGTGCCCCATGCGGCATCGTCCTCGTCCCCTGCACCGCACCGTCAGAGAGGCTCTGCACGGCGCACGGCGGTGTCGTCGCCTTCCCGTCACCATTCTATATTCCCGCGGCCACCACGGCGGACCGCGGATGGCGACGGCACCACGCACCAGGCCACTAGGTCACGTGGGTCCCGTCGGCCCCTGCGCTGCGCCCCCACCTGCTGAGTCCGACGTGGCGTACGTCGCGCTTCCGCCTCGTGCTCCGCCCTCGGATGCCTTCCTTCCTGCCCGCGCCCAAACACCGGGCAGCGCGGCGCCCGTGCGGCGGACGGCCACGTGCTGGTGCAGTGGTGCTGGAGACGCCCCGCCGCCCCGGCGTGGTGCGCGTTCGGATCTGGACAGGAGAGCAGCGTCATGGGCTCATGGCGGGCTGGACGGATTCAACGGAACGTGGGGCAGCAGGCAGAGCGGCTGCTGTTCCATTTCGGACGGGACTGTGGCTCGTGCCGGGATTTGTTGTTACTGGAAGCGCCACGAGATGGAGGGACCCACCGACCTGGGTGAATGGTCGCTCGACAGTATACTGACGTGGTTAATTGTCTGACGTACCCCGATCTGTCGAATCATGAAATTTCCACCGACAGAGAGGAGAAGTAATACCACGCCGATCATTCGATCAATGCAAAGAAAGAACGCATTACCATCATGGTTGGTGGTGGTACTTATTTACGAATTTTCATACTTATTTACGCTTTACTTTTTGTTCAAATATAAACCGTAAACCCTCCCACCGAATGATGGCAAACCTACCGTAAACCAGGACTTTCTTTTACATCGTGCAGTTGCAGAACTGCAGCAGCGGTGCAGTGCAGAACTTGTGCGTCTGCAAAATCACGAGACCAAAATGCACGGCCACATTGATCATGCTGTATCACACAGTACTACCGCCTGTACCGGACAGAAGCCCGGGACGAAATCCCCAAATCGCCCCTAGGCCAGGCCCAAATCCGTCCTCCTCGGCATCGGCACGGACACGCCCCCACACAAAAACACCCACTCCATGTGTCCTACACTCCTACTTCTCCCCCCCACTTGGCTAGCTCGCGCTCCCATTTCCATTTCCCAACGCCACCCCCAACGTCTCTCTAGCGGTCTAGCCTCTGCCTCTCCCCTGTGCCCTCCACGCTGCCCTGCCTGCGTTCCCACACCGCTCCGCGTGCGCCGTGCGTCGCCCGCACGCGGCGGCTCTGCGCATCCGCCTGCTGTGCTCTGCTCCCCACCCGATGCTGCCGCCGGCGCGGGCCGTCCCGAGCCACAGCCGGAGATGAGCTCCAGGAACCGCTCCGCCGCCGCCGCCGCCGCCTCCTCGTGCGTTGCCCCGGCTGCGGCGCCGTCTCTCCGGACGCCGCGCCGCCTGAGGCGTCGGCCGGTTAAGGCGCCGACCGGCGCGCCCGGCGGCGGGCGGCGGAGCGGGCCCGCGACGCCGCTGCTGAAATGGGACGTGGGTGGCGGGCGCGGGGAGGGGAGGAAGGGGGCTGGCGCCGCTGACGAAGCGCGGGACGCCGCGCGGGAGACCAAGGCGAGGGAGGTGTCGGTGCGGAGGCTCGCGGCCGGGGTCTGGCGGCTGCGCCCGCCGGAGGCCGTGGCCGGGGGCGGCGGCGGCGGCGGCGGTGGCGAGAGCAGGGTCCGCGTGGGTGTCGAGGTATGTTCATGCTGTGCTGCTTCCAGCTAGGAGTACTAGCTTGTTTGTTTCGTTTTCGGCTTGATGTTGAGATGCGGCCAATAGGAGGCGCTGGGCGCGTGCTTTGTCTGCGAGCTCTTGGTACATTAGCTTCTCCTGTAATGGCATTTTTATTTCTAGACTAGGGCTTTTAGATCATCTTCAAATTCTAAGTTTTTTCACTCTTTCTCCGTCACATTAATTTTTAGACACGTGTATGGAGCATTAAATGTAGGTAAAAAAAAACTAATTACACAGTTTAGTTGTAAATCACGAGATGGATCTTTTGAGCCTAGCTAGTCCATGATCGGACAAAATTTGTTGAATACAAACGAAACGTGATACAAACGAAACGTGCTACAGTGTCCAGGTTGTAAAAATTTACAATATAAACAAGGCCTAGAGTATCGTTTTGGTGTTTAGTGAATAAAAATGGGCGCTCTAAAAGGCTTTTTTTACCATGTTTTCCCCTACTATTTATACGACTTTTTTAGCACAAATGTTGAGATTTGTCGTCGAAACATGCCTAGCTTGGTGCTCTAGGACATAGATCTCTCGCACTGTTTTGAGCTGACACCATCATTACCCTTCGCATGTTTGCTAATTTGAGCTGCTAGATTCGCCTAAACTCGATTAGCGTAGTCAAATCTTAGTACGAACCAAGTCTCCTCATTGAATCCTCAGCACTAACACACACTGCGCATTGCCGTGCCGACGCATTTAAGTACTCGCCTGGACGTTAGATGCGTTGCCTTGAAGCATGGCCATTTATGAAGGCGGCCGTGCAGCAGGCACAGTACGGTGGCCGTGATCCAACAGGGCAACAAGCGCAGCGTCTTCCTGTGCCCAGATCTCCTCATGTGATTCCTGAACATGTATGGGCCCCAATCATCGGATCCTCTCGGAGTCTCCGTGCCCCTGGCCGTGCAATCACAAATGCGCTGCCCGTGCGTTTTAGCCTTTTGTGGGTGATTGGTTGGCCTGGCCTGGCCATCAGTGCGGGTGTGCACCTTCAGTTTACCGAGTTGCTGCGTCCTGTGTAAAGAAGAATGAAGAGTGGAGCTTGGAATTTGGATCGTGAAAGGTTTGTCAGGGTGTGAGCTTCTGAATCGGGCAAAATGGCTCTCAGCTCTTGTGCCGTGCAGCAACAAATACTGGGTTCAGGAGCACGTGGTCCTGTTTAGTTGCTTGTCTCATGCTATTGGAGACGATCCTAGTGCCCTTCCAGGAAATGGTTTTGAATTCTGAAGCTTTAGCCCTTAGGCTGGGATGAAAATGCTAGCCAACAAACGTGACGATGTTACCGACGCAATATATGTAGGTTCTCTGTATATGATTCGGTTTGATAGGGGTCTCCATGTGATGATTGTTTGGGCCCCTATAGATTCTCCTTGTTCTTTGAAACTGCCTACCGGAAATTCACATTTTTTTTTGTTAAACGTAGTATGTATGTGATGTTCTTTTCTAGTCATAGTACGAAATAGTGACATGAACATGTACAGATCCAGTGCTACTTTCTGGATAGATATGCTTAAATCATGGAACAGTCGTGCAAGTAAATTTTAATATAAAATGTTATTAATTCCTTTTGTGTCTTATTTTTCTTTATTGAAAAAATAAATAAATAAATAAATTTGTGTCCTATTCTGAACTGTGTCTATATGACAGCATATCCCAAGGCATCTACAAGTCCAGCTTCTGAAGCAGAACACTTCAGGTCATCACCAGAGTTTGAAGAATGAGGTTTCAAGCCCCATATCTGTTTTGGAGCGGAAGAGTGGAGAGCTCCACAAGGTGAGGGAAAGAACCAACAAGACATTCATTAACTGCTTTTACTTGTATCAGCCTGTAAGATCATTGACACAACAAATTCTGCAGGTACAACTTCATGCTACTTCTGCTATGCTGCCTGTCACTACCATGGAGAAGGCAACAAAATGGGAGCCTGGGGACATAAAGGGAATGGAATCACATGATGCGTATCTGATAGCCAGCCAGCTAAATCTTCTTAATGAGCAGCAAGATACAGCGTATGTTGCTAATCTCCAGATGGAGCTCCAGCAAGCACGTGATAGGATAAGTGAGCTGGAAACTGAGCGGCGATCAGCTAAGAAGAAGCTTGATCACTTGTTCAAGAAACTTGCAGAGGAGAAAGCAGCTTGGAGGAACAGAGAGCATGAAAAGGTGCGTGCTATTCTCGAAGATATGAAGGCAGACCTTGACCATGAGAAGAAAAACCGGAGGCGTCTGGAGATGATTAACTTGAAACTCGTTAATGAGTTGAAGGAGGCCAAGATGTCAGCAAAACAGCTGTTACTAGAGTATGATACAGAGAGGAAGGCACGTGAGCTCACTGAGGAGGTGTGCAACGAGCTAGCAAGAGAGGTGGAGGAAGACAAAGCTGAGATTGAGGCCTTGAAACAGGACTCTCTGAGGTTGCGGGAGGAGGTAGACGAGGAGCGGAAGATGCTGCAGATGGCTGAGGTGTGGCGTGAAGAACGGGTGCAGATGAAGCTTGTTGATGCAAAACTTACTCTCGACGCAAAATACACACAGCTGAGCAAACTGCAACAGGATGTTGAGGCTTTTATTGCTGCATGCAGTACTGCAAATGGAAACATAACAGTAGTAGAGGAAGCAGAGAACATAATACAGGCAATCAAGTCAGTCAGAGCCCAAGATGCTGAATTCAGATATGAGCCACCAGCAGCATCAGAAGACATATTTTCCATTTTTGAAGAGCTGCGTCCAAGTGAGGAGCCTGTCATCAAGGAGATTGAGCCATGCTACAAGAATAGCTCTGCCAAATGTGAATCAGAAATTCAAGAGGCTAGCCCAATGACCGATATATTCCTTGAAAAGAAAGCCAAGACATACTCAAACAAAAGCCCTAAAGATGAAAGCGACACTGAAGATAGCAGCAGCTGGGAGACAATAAGCCATGAAGATATGCAGGGTTCAAGCGGTTCACCCGACGGAAGCGAACCTTCAGTCAGCAACAAGATCTGCGAGGGAAGCATTTCTTGGAAGAGCAGGAATGGTTTCGAGTATAGGGAGAATGAGAAGCTGAAAGATGACTTAGCTGATGGCTACCTGACAAACATGAACCAACCCAAGAAGAAAGAATCAGCCATTTCAAAGCTCTGGAAATCATCCCGCCCAAAGAACAGTGAGATATGCAAGAAAGATGCAGTTGAAACGGTAAATGCAAGATCATCCAATGTACGGCTCTCAGTTGGGACTTATTCCACTGTTGAAAGTGGCATCCAAGAAATAGGACTCAGTCCACCGAGCGTCGAGCAGTGGAGCTCGCCAGACTCGATGAACATTCAATTCAACCGGGGCTTCAAGGGCTGTATAGAGTACCCGCGGACGTCCCAGAAGCACAGCTTGAAGGCAAAGCTCATGGAAGCACGGATGGAGAGCCAGAAGGTCCAGCTCCGCCAGGTGCTCAAGCAGAAGATCTAGAGTGGCCAGAAACCAGAAGGCGAAACATTGTAAACCTAGAATTTAATCCAAGGAATAATGTCAAGGAGTACCTAGATGCTTCGTTTTTTCCTGTTTTAGAGTAACCTGTAATGCATGTACAACAAGGACTAGAGAAAAAAAGGACAGGGCTGGCCTTTGTGGGTTGTCCGGAGCCTTTGCTGCTTCTGTATCTTACTTTAGTTCTGGTGTTATGGTTCGATCTGATAGGCTATTGTGAGATCCATCATGATGTACAATATAGACAAACAAGCAGCAACGTTTAGACAAATTGCATCCCTTTGTAAGCAGTTCCCAGTGTTTTTCTCTGTCATTTCCAGTGTTTTCATTACTCTTGTGCAACTCTTATTATGCTTATGGCTCCTTACTTTCCTCATGTTATCAATGTTTTATGCGAAAATCCGTTCCTATGTTATGGAAACTTCGAAAGCTGCTGACTATCAAGTCAAGAAGGCCGGTGACACACAGCTCTCCTTCAACTGGGAAAGCCGATCTGTGCACCTGTGAATCAGCCTTGCAAACATTGCAGTAACAAAAGTCGGGCTTGAGGAACTTGGGAATCAGTATCAACAATCGCACGTAAATGAATCCTGGCAGAAATTCTCTCTAATCGCACTTCAGCAGTTCTGCTTCTGCAGCCAGAGGAGACGAGACTGATGAAAGCCCGGAGCGTAGCGTGCATTGGAGATTCACAGGAGACTAATCGCAGTACCCAAGGCCCAGTCGATGGCTTCGTGGTTAGTTGTGCGTTTGATTGATGCAAAGAAGTTGCTGGGGAGAAGAAAGCTAGAGCCCCCGACGTCCGACGAGATCAGCAAACCAGCACCTTTTTAGTAACTTGACGCAGACAATTTCAACAAGTGCAGCTCTTCAAGCAGGGAAAACAGCGGCCTGATACCTCAGACATTCAGTAGTGGAGTATTCCAACTGACAAGTCGCAAACTCGCAAATGCACTGGATAGAAGCACGACAGGTCACAATTACGAGTTTATAAATGACGAGTCACAGGTAACAGCAAGAGCATTTGCAAAGAGGCAAGGATACAACCACCAATCGAAGGATGCAAATAAGCAATAGACAGAGTTATGGTTATACACCAGCAGAATAGATAGAACATAGAAGCATCCATAATACCCAAAACAAGGGCAAGGGCAAGCTGTAAGCCCAATTACACGGCACGATGGCTGATGCAATACAAACTATTGATCATCTATAAAATGTAGATGGCTGATGCAATACAAACTATTGATCATCTATAAAATGTAGATGGCTGATGCACTACAAACAATTGATCATCTATAAAATGTACATGGGATGGGACATGAAGCACCATTATCTGTAATCCAGTTGTCTCGTATAGTCATAGCAAACCGAACTTGGCAATGTAAAGTAGTCTCACACCAACAAGATGCAAATATTTTATTGCTTTAAGTATTATTAAAGGCCTCATTTGAAATTTATTTGAAGAATCAAAAGAAAATTACATGGTCCACCCAATCTCCATATTCGATCTATTAATGGTTTACACTCATGAAAATATTTAATCTTTAGGACCCAAGAATAATGGTAACAGTGCATCAATTATGATCTGACCTAAATCGACAGTGTTACTGCGAATTAATCAGAAGTAAAAAAAATAGGCAGGAAACATACCATGGCCAGTACCAATTTCATGAATACATATGATTTACAAACATAAACACCTAATCTTTAGGTTTGCTTTGCCACTAGAGTAGCACAATGCACAACTGGCATCACTAATTTGCTGTTGGCTTATCACAGGTTGGTAATGTTGCGACTTGTGAATGAATGGAATTAGAACCCAAATAAGCACAACATTAAAAAAAAACTGATGGTGTTAAGCTCAGTGCTGAAATGAGTATAAAAACAAACTAAAGCAATGCAAACGACAAGAACTAGAACACCGGTTCAACACATGGCCATGTTCTGATGGTATTATGTAAAGTGCCGAAACGTTGTATATTTCCTGGTCTGGGGATTGAATGGTGCACCGTATGACTAGTGCATAGGTAATTAGTATGCTCCACACAGCTTAGACCAAAGAGAGAATTACTAATCAAAGCAATTACCACTTACCAGTCTTCAAATCAGTGCCAACAATCCATCGAAGTGCATAACTATATCTATATGATTTCGCCACCAATGAAACGATTGTTTGAATTGTTTTATGAATACTAAGCAGGTACCAGCCAAGGCAGCAACAAACTCAGAGTAACTATCCAGGAAAACATAGTCCTTTTGATGCATCATGCATCAACATATTTTAAGTCTTAATTACTCAATGATTAAGGCCCTGCAGCTAGAAATATGCATTTCCATCTTCCACTATCCATATTACAGGGCTGTAAACCACATCAGCTATCACTCACATGTAAACCAAGGAGCATTCAGTGATGGAGACCTATAAGATGCATCAACAAAATCTGAGACCCGCAAGACTAACAACACAAAAGATTAACAGCACATCACAAGCAGTGATTCCGAACAAAATTTCAACCAGATGTATCCTTTGGCATCATTTAACACATCATCGACATATTTTTAACAAAATCTTCTCCGAGATCCATACCAAGCACGAAGCCTTCATGGCAATAGCAAAACAGAGATAGCTTAAAGGGTTTCCAATACAGTAAATTGACAACTAAAGCAGACACTATGCGGGACGCCCGGCATCTAGAAGCGGAGCTTGGTAAAGAACCACCTGTTCTTGCCGCTCTTGAACCTCTCCTCGAGGCGGTACTTGGCGGTCTTGCAGGCCTCGACCTTCTTGTCCCGGGTGGAGAGCGCGTCGGGCCTGCCTGAGGCGACGTCCTTGAAGTCGACGTCGAGGGTGTAGCGGGTGGGCATGAGGTGGGTGAAGTTGACGAGCTTGATGAAGCACTTGACGCGGGACTTCTTGGCCGTCTTCTTGGCGGAGTCCTTGCGGATCACCTTCTTGGGGTACTTGGCGAGGCCGGCGACGAGGCAGTGCCCGTAGGGGCGGTCGCGGGTGCCCTCCTCGAACACGCGCACGATCACCGCCTTCCGGCCGGCGAACCGGCCCTGGAGGAGGATCACGGCCTTGCCGGGCTTGAGGAACTTCACCATCTTCGGGTGGTGGTGATGCTGCTGCGCCGCCGGTAGGGTTTGGGGAGGTTGGGGAAATGGGAGCGCAGCGCGCGAGAGGGGCGAGGATTATATAGGGTTGCGGCGCTAGGGCTTCGAGGATGGCGGGTTTCGTCTGTTGGATCTGGGATCGGACGGTTCTGCTGTGGTTGGGCTTCAGGGTGATGGGTCGGACTTGGGTCCGGTGCGACCGAGCGAGGAGTGGTTGTGTCGGACCACATATATGCCCGCAACGCGCAGAGATACGAGTTACTTTTTTTTACACCTACAAAAATATGAGCGTGAAATTAATTAATATTAGACACGAAAACATATACTTTGTGGAATTAAAGGAGAAGAAGCACGTTTTAATGACGCTTTATTCTTCAGTTTCAGATTATAGCCACTTTGGCTTTGTTTCGAGTTTGATTTTTTTTCTTGCTTTGACCAATCCCACACTCTAATGATTTTGCATAAGTTCTAACCAGCAAACTATGCTGCCAGTGTCCTAGCTTTGTCATTCTTCATGATCCTTGATTGCCTTATCTCATCAAATGTCACTAACGAGACCATGATCCCCTCTCTTGGATCTCCTCGTGCCCCTTTTTTTACTCCCTCCTCCATTGTGGTTTTTTCCCTTAATGGGTGTTGGCGGGCGTCAAGCGGGTTAATGAATGTGCTCTAAAGACACTATAGTCATGATTGTCGTCTGTCATTTGACTCAAAGCTTCACAACATTGTTGGAGTGGAGGTCACGAGTTCAAATTTGGTGGTGGTGGTGTTAGTTGGTGAACAACTACATGCTTATCATGGGAGTTCTTTGTTCCCCTTTCTGTGTTTGTGGTTGTCATATGTTCTGTCTCGCGCGTGTTGTTGTTGGTGTTATGTTGTATGTGTGCGTTCTCTGTTATATCCTGTTTGAGCGGTAATTTTTTATTAGCTCTTCATTGCAATATATTCAGGTGGGGACTTCTCCCCCCCCTGACCCATCAAAAAAAAAGTTTTAGGAAAAAACATATTGTTATTTACAAGTTCAGATAAACCTGTCAAAACACATTTTATGGGTAAATAATGTATAGAAAAATGATAATAAAGATATTGGTGTATTTTTAATGAGGTTTGACTTATGACAAAATCAAAAGTAACTATAACTTGAAAGTTGAAACAGAGAGAATATCTACTTAAATTTTTATAGAGGACTTCTAAATGTGAGCATCATGGTCAAACTATAGAAACACATTGCAACTTCAATTTGGTTCGTTCCAGATTGTATATAAGCACAAACCAATCCAAACGCAGGGTAATCCGATGAGTGTCATTAATTAGAGATGGTCAGATGGATGAGGAAAAAAATGCTATTTGTGCAAATGTTTAGTGCTTTAGCCATATGTACGACGTGTGCGCGCACCTTTTATGGAGAAGAAGGTAAAGGAGCTTTGGCATATGAAGCATGAGGATGTAGCGGATTATCCGATTGTAAGTAGGCAAACACTAAGACTGAAAAGAGTGAACACGAGGCAAAGATGAAAAGGTACCACACTGGACTAAATCAACGGATGACCGATACTAATGATTTGATTTCTATAGAGGGCGAGAAAAGTAGCCAGTGAAAATGTGAAATAACGGAATATATGGTTCAATAAAAATAAATTGCTTGAAATGCAAAAAGGGTCCTTTGTCTAGAGGGCTCTAGTGAAGGTAACTTTCAAATCTTGGGTCTTGCCAAACGGCAATGCTAACGCCCGAACGTTCGGACGGACGCCTGCGCGTAGCACTCCGTTTCACGTGCTCCCTACAGGGCCCGCACCACCCGAGCGGCAAGAGGAGAAGGGGGCGGCGCCTCTGATTCGAAAGGACCCGGCCACGGCGTCATATGG